TTGGTTGATTATAATATCTTGCAGATTATGTATACGGCTCATAAAAATTTACCTTTAAACATTTAGTTATGTTTTGTTAAGAGAGAAAGTTCTTATAATCTTAAAGGACTTGAGATGTTTTTGAAACCTAAAATTCAAACAAACTTGAAGGACCGATGTACTTCTTTTCAAGGAATAAGATTGTGGAATAATCTGTCGATTATAAAAAAAGCCGGTTCAATGTATTTGTTTAAGAGAATGATAAAAATGCGTTAAATATCAAAAGTTGTTGTTTGAGAAGGAACTGAAGCTTTTATTTTGTTTTGTTTCTTGATTGTTATTGCTGGAAATTAACTATGGAAAAAAGGGGCAGATATAAGATTTTTTCTTCCTTCTGCCTCCTTTCATTTCAATTTGGATTTGTATATTTTTTGTTGTGTATTTTTTTGTTTTTTTTTTTAATGTGTATAAATTGTTTTGTGTTTTGTTTTAAATGAAATGAATAAAAACTAAGTAACTATTCAGTGGGTTTGAATGTGTAAGCTGCCAGCCTCAGTGCAGCTTGTTCAAAAAGAACTGTTGCATCTTTTTAAGTGTTGTTTGTTCCAGAAGATTCATTTGAGATTACATAAAACAAGGTTTGTTGTGGAGCCTTTCTTTTACAGACTAAAGTCAGATGTTGGCACACAAAGCCGGGTGAAAAGATTGAACCTCATCGTGTGAAGCTGCAGCTCTGTAGAGATTTATAATAAATAACCTACCTTATCCATTTTGGTTATGCTGTCCTGGTGAGAGCTGGAGCTGGAGTGGACCCTGAGGTCCAGCGGCTCAAAGAGAGTAAAGTTCCAGTTGAGATCCAGATGACTCAGGTCTCTGCAGTGGACATTATCCAGCAGGTGGCTCAACAACTCGCTCCACTTGTTGCAGCGATCCCCGAGGTCGAAGCTGGCCTTCAGCGTGAGCAGGCTGGCTCGGCGCGAGATCAGATGGTGTGTGTAGTGATGAACCCAGGACTTCCACCTCTCGAACTCACGGTTCGAGACAAGCAGCCCCTCCTGACTCAGATGGAAGACGCCTCGGCGTGAATAGTCGGCGACCCGCCACAGCTTCCACGATCGAACGAGGCAGCTCCAGCTCAGACAAACCAGAGCGCAGCTGCATTTATCCACCTCGTTCAGGAAGGACAAGACTCGCAGCTGACACTCCACCGGCAGGGAGTTGAAGGGAAAATAGTCTTCAGCTGATTTCCACCGACTGCTCGCTGGGACAAGAAGTCTTTTCTGTGGTGACATACTGAGGAATGACGAAATGCTCGTGGACACTGGTGGAAGTCAGGATCTCCACCAGGAAGTCTTGTGATCTGGCTTTGCCATGAATATTTCTGCCCTGCAAAACCGCAAAGATAAAAAAAAATATGCAGACTGAAAAAGAAACATACAGAAGAATGTGTCAAAGTTTTACAGCTGGCAATGCAGCGTGCCTGCAGGTCCTGAGAGAACAAGTTACTACTTCAGTTTTTATGCACAGCTCAAATTTTCAACAAACTTTCTATCATTAAATAATGTGAGTCATTCCACTTAAAACTAGATTTTAGCCAATTATGTGTCAGTTAATATCTGTCATAAATACTCAATGTCTCACTTGAAGTGGCCAAATAATTTTATGCATTGCAGGTTCACCATAAAGGTAGATTATCTGATGTTACTCTGGTGTTTTTATAGCAAATATATATGTATGCTGTTTGTTTCAACATGTATGAAGTTCAAAGTCAATCAGAGGGTTTATATTTTTACTCTTTTATTATTAGTTTTAATCAAAGCTCTGCTGACTAAATGTTAAAATTCAAACTTGATCACTAACAATATTGATTGGCTTTGTTTTGGAAAAAGTAATGCCAGTAATTTACGCTTTACATCAAAAGGTTTTCAGTTAAAGATCTGAAAAATCCCACATGGAAATTTCCAACACCTGACATGAATTAAAGAACATTCAGAAGAAAAAAGACTTACTTGTGAGACTTAAACTCTTTGTTTAATGCAGGATTTTGCCTSTTGCGTAAACACCATGAATGCTGATTTAAATCTGTATTTGTTGTGAAAAGTCAATAAGAGGACGTTRTTGTTTTTAGATATCAATTACAACAAATTTAGATGAAAAACAGTAAACGGGCAAGTCTTTACCCTGTTCCAGGTCCAGTTTTGGACCACTACAGACAAAACATATCCAATGAGGTGCACAAGTGTCCTATTTTTATACATCCAACAAATTAATTTCAAGTATAAAACGTTTACTTGATATCAAACTGATTCAACTCACTTCCGGGTTTTAAGTTAGGCTGTTGGACAAAGATGTTTAGGTTATTTAACGGTGAATATACAAGTAAATAAATGTGACAGATTCAGTCAAACGGGGTAATTTTCATCCACCGTTATAAAACATACCGGTTTTAATATAGAATTATAAATGAAGTACTCGAAATAACATTCTGAAAAGTAAAATATAAATGTAACATTTTTATATGAAGTTTATGGCAACTGTGGTGTAACACAAATAAGTCTTTTAACAGCTTTTAACGTTTTTCTTAACATCCTAAATAATACCAAGTGTCAAATTTATTAAAGTTTAAACTAATGCACATAAGACTAGATGTGCATTCGTTTGTTGCGTTTGATGCTGAATTAAAACGTTACCTTCAGAATAGAAGAGGCTTCGTCTTTTACTTCGTAAAAAGCTAACCTGCTAACAAAAAGATAATAAATTTGAAATCCTAAAACCAAATACAGCACTAAATAAAAATGTAAAAATAGAATATATACCTTGTTAATGTGGTAATAACTCTTAAATTAACAATAAGGAATAAGGTGTTAAGAAAAGTTCAGACTAACTAGGCCGGCTTCTAATGAATTCTGTTTTTGTTTTTTTTTGTTGTGGCTCGTGGGTGATGATGTCATCAACATGCGCGCACCGAGCTGCACGTTTTGCACGGAGAACTAGCTCCCTCTAGTGGACGGACAAAGAAAGTGCGTCTTCAGAGAGTTGTCTTTGGAAATTGATTTATTTTTCAATAAAACTACACTGTCACACTGTGATGAAGCAATCAGAGACCTGGTGGAAATTGCCATAATCAGGATGGTAAGGATTGGAATTTAGGCTTTTTTTTTTAGGAAGAGGGGAAAACACAACTTTTATCTGCTGCCTTCTTTGACACAGGGCACTGATCATGATGGTCTGGTGACCCTGGAAGAATTTGAAGAGGCAGTAAATAAGACCTGCTGCTTGAGGCCTTTGGACCCTGCCTTCCTTATGCTTCTGAAATCACAAATAAAAACAAAAAACTGTTTTAGTTTAAATTTCCACGTCAGGAATTCTCAGTCTTACATGCTGTTTTCTTACCTTTCAGTGTATCGAGAAGTTCGAGCAGCGAAGAAACT